TGGGACCTCCCCACCCCTGGGCACACAGTCCCTCCCCTGCCCACGCCCCCTCACATCCTCAGGCAGAGGGACCTGACCCAGGGCCAATGAGGGGTCAGAGAGCTGGGGGTCTCATTTGCATGGACAGGCCCTCCCTCTCGCAGAGGATGAAGAGGGGGAGGGAGAGATTAGGGGAGGCTCTGCTCAGCTGTGGGGCCACAGAAGGCAGGATCGGTGAGGACCTCCACCATGGCCTGGTCCCCTCTCGTCCTCAGCCTCCTTGCTCACTGCACAAGTGACTGGATGCAGGGACAGGGGAAGGGGCCCTGGGAGGACATGTGGGGCCCTGTTTCTCCTCTTGTCTCAAGACCCCAGCATCACCCTGTCTGTGTCTCTCCCCCTTGCATGGTCCTGGGCCCAGTCTGTGCTGACTCAGCCGCCCTCTGTGTCTGGGGCCCTGGGCCAGACGGTCACCATCTCCTGCACTGGAAGCAGCTCCAACATTGGGGGTGGTAATGCTGTTAACTGGCACCAACAGCTCCCAGGAAAGTCCCCTAAAACCATGATCTATGGTAGTACTGCTAGACCCTCGGGGGTCCCCGAACGATTCTCTGGCTCCACGTCTGGCAACTCTGGCACCCTGACCATCACTGGACTCCAGGCTGAGGACGAGGCTGAGTATTATTGTGCATCGTGGGATGATAGTCTCAGTGCTCACTCAGTGCCCCCGGCCTGAGGGGAAGGGAGACAAAAACCCACTAACTCCTCTGTAAAGAGGAGGAGACACACCAGCGTAGCCTGTGATTCTGCTTATTCCTTTGCTGACGCCCTGGGAGCAGGTCCATCCAGGGGCACCGTTTAAGGGCGAGGTCCGTCCTGTCCCTTCTGTCCTCAGAGTCACTTGGGGCAGCCCATTCGCAGACAAGGAGTCTTCATGTAAACAGAAAGTTCTCTTTTCATCAACTGGGGGTATTTAACTTCTAGGCCACATCATATTAACTCTTTCCTTCTGATTTTAAAACAAATCCAACATTTTATTTTGTCTCTGAACAGATCGTGGGATCTCAGCACTCCCCATGTGGTGCTTGAAGAATAACTCAGTCCTGTTGCATCAGAAATTATTATCTGCGTGGCTATAAATGGTGCTGCTGCCTAGTTTTGTCTAATTTCCTGATTTTTTTGAGAAATAGACACTCACTTAGAATGATAAAACTATAAAGGAATCCAAAACTTTCCTCCATAGGAATAATCTGCACATGAATGTTTGTACCAGTTTCATTCATAATCACTAAAACTGAAAGTGACCGGAAGTCTGTCCATAGAGATTTAGTCCAGGTTTGTATCTAATCACCAAACATGGACCCGAACTGAGATGCCACCAAACAGGCAGCTCGTTTCTAAAATGGGAAATAATACATAGTACGGTTAAAGTTATATCACTTTTGGGAAGAGGCAACACTCTGGAGAGAGCGCAAACACCTGCAGTTTCTGGAAGGAGAAAAGAGACAAAAGAGTTGATCATGTGAACGGAGGAAAACGTTTCTGAGCAAGAGAAGGATTCTCTGTGACGCTGTAACGGCAGTGAAATGACACGATGACTCCGTCAGAGTTCACTGAACCCCGTGCAGCCACATGACAGAACCGACGGTTGCAGATAAAACTCATTAGGGAGGTTCGGGGCCCGGGGTGGAATGCGGACAAACCCCCGCACCTGCCGGACAGACGTGTGAGCCCAGCTCAGGGCTGGGCTCGGGGCAGAGCCGCTGGGCCGAGTGACCGTGCAAAGGAGCGGAGCCCGTCAGGGCAAAGTCAGAAGCGACTGCCCGTGGGCTCTGTGCTCCAGTAGACAGGGCTGTGTCCCGCGGAAACAGGTGGGTTATTTTGAGGGGCCTGCACTGTGTCCTGGAATTGAGCAGTCAAGTCAGTGGATGGGCCCTGGGGAGCCCGATTTCTCCCGGTAGGAGTGGAAAGTCGCAGATAGAACCCAGGGTGAAGCGTGAGCTCATGGGTTCGAGCTGGGGAGGGCGGTTTGGAATCGTGTGTAGTTTGATAGGGACAGTTAATTGCCTGTCGAGACAGTCAGCGCTGTGTGCAGGGTCCTGAGTGAGTGACTGTCATATAGAAGCCCTCGGTCTGTCAGCGGGGCGGAAGTACACGCTGGGATGCCCAGAGCCCTGAGTGCATTCCCCCAAATAGTGCTTCCTAGTACCGTTCTCTGGGAAAGGATGCAGGCTGCTTTGCAGAGAGGCTTAGTCCCCAGACCAGGAATTACATGGATGAGCTTGGGGCGACTTCTAGTGTCAGAAAGTGTAGAATCCTTCAGAATAAACACAAGCACATCAGTGCAGGCCCAGCCCACACACACAGTGACGGGGTGTGTCCAGGAGCTCGTGAGACACTTAAAATGCCCCCATTGGGCAAAACTGGAAAGATTTGAGCAACCGAATAAATGTGACAGTATTAGCTTCTTACTCAAAATTTAAAATAATTGTCCACAGTCCCTATTGTGAAATGGTTGAATAAATGAATAAATGGAGGAAGAGACACATTCCAGTACAGAGATTTCAAGTAACAGGTGCAAACACTTAGCCCGAAGAATGTCAGGCATGATTCCCGCTCAGTAAGTGTGGATGAAGTCACTAAAACAAGGGGAATCTGAGAAAGTATCACAGTGAGAGAAGCTTAAGGAGCCATCACAACTAAATGCCATAATGATCCTGAACTGGATCTTAGAACAGCAAAGGGATATTAGGTAAAAATTGAGAAAATCTGAATAAACCATGGTTGTTAATCATTATGGGTTGAACTGTATCTTTATCAATCCATGTGATAAAAGTTCTAAAAAAATCTTGTATTTCAGGAGCTGACTGTATTGGGAAATGCTGTTGTTGCAGACGTAATCAGCTGTGGTGAGACCAGTATGTTTAATCTCATGTTTCACAGTCTTTTTCTCTCTTTGGTTTTCCTCTGCCTTTTCAGTTGGAGTGATGCTGAGATGCATCGCAGTATTTAGGAGAACAGAGCCTAGGAATTCAACCTTCATTGTCATAGAAAGCCCTCATATTATAGACAAAAATCGAGAAAATTCTGTTTTTTGGTTACCGCCAGTCCATGGGACACTTACCAGGTAAACAGGATGAAGCCTAAATGTGGGTGGGATACCTTGTCCTGGGGGCCCCTTGATGCAGGAGTGGAGAAAGAAATTCCAAGAAGAGGGAGGTCGGTTGTACAGTGTAAGGGTTTATATTAATGCTCATACTGAGAACAGTTACAAACCTGGGCTAATGTAAAGGAAAATTAATCGTAAGTATGTCAGAGAGACACAGGAAATAATGAATTCCGAGGTTAACCAAAAAGGGAAAACGAAAACCTAGAGTGGGAGGCATGAACAGTGGACCCATTTTTGTTGAAATTATATTAGTCTCGTGACAAATGCAGACGTCCAATGCCAGGGCCTGTGCACTGGGGGTTATGGGATGTTCCCGGAGACTCTACTAATGTGGCAACACCGATGTCAGGCTCACTGTAAGGATGTACCAGGTGTGAACCAACAGTGAACGCTGGGAAACATTAGGCCACTGAGTGAGTGTATCCTTACAAAATTCTTTCTTTTTTTTAGATTTTATTTATTTCTTAGGGAGAGAGAGAGAAAGCACAAGCAGGGGCAGTGGCAGGCAGAGGGAGAAGCAGGCTCCTCGCTGAGCAGGGAGACTGACGTGGGACTCGATCCCAGGACTCTGGGCTCATGACCTGAGCCGAAGGCAGACGCTCAACTGACTGAGCCACCCAGGTGTCCCCAAAATTCTGTTTCTATGCCTTTCCCAGAAGCAGCCTCTACAACTTCTGCTAAGCAGCTCCACTGTCCCCTCCTCGGCGACACACGTGCCCCCCTGCGCATCTGGGACATAAAGCTTTGTCTAGAAAGTCCTGTAATTGTATATACACATATTTTCACCTCGCATGGACCACGGCTCCCTCTGGAGTGAGAAATTACAGTAAATTGGGACAAAGATCAGAAACATAGTATAGGTATCCCGAACTTTTGAAAGTTCTCTTTACACCTCTTTGCTTTTATGAAATATTTACATTAGTAGCTGCTTTTACTGCTCAAAGCCATCTGAAGAGGATTTTCAGTTTCACAAAAAAATAAGCGCCAACTTAGTTAGCATCCAGCATAAGTTTTGCAGGAGCCTCTCCAGAGACGGTGCACAACCCAACCAGCATGACGGGCGCCTTCCAGCGGCTTCCCCGGGAGTCACACCCAGCAGCTCAGCCACAGGCCACCGCGGCTGTGAACGGTGTGTTATCACATGCGCTTTATCGCCATTCGTATTCTACATCTGACGGCCAAATGTGTCCTTGGGTATCCAAGGAGCCTAGGACTGATTTCTTTTTAAGCCTGGAAACATGCAAAAAAAAAATTGTGCATATAAATTAATATTAATTGCTTCTCGCCTTATGCCATCGTGGCTTACTAAGTTTCTTAGGGATGATGGAGTTTCAGACAGCAGGGGAAACCTGTACTGACACTTGGTCCACGGAAGTGTGGATCCACAGGGATGTTGGGAGCTGCAGAAATCAGTGGGGCTCTCAGGGCTTTGGGACACAGTGACGGCTGCGCCCGTGACCAGCAGGGGGTGCGGTGGGACTGACCTGTGGTCTCTACATGTCAGCTCAGTGAGGAGCATTCACTCAAGAGAAATGAACTGGGCACTGGCCCTGTGCTCTCTGTTGGGGACTCAGCAGCTGGGTCCCCTCTTGCCTGGCAGAGTCCCCTGAGTAGGGACCCGTGTGTGGTCTCAGCAGGTGCATCCTCCCAGGGCTCTCCCCAGGGCTGAAGCCACTCCCATCCTCCTCAGTGTGCCTGTGAGCCGAGTCCCAGCACAAGGGCTCAGGGAGGGTCTGGGCAGTCACTGGGTGGACCCCGTTTGCATGGAGAGCCCCTCCTGTGGCAGAGGGTGGAGGAGAAAAGGAGGCCTGGGGCAGCCTGGCCCACTGTGGGGTCCAGTGTCTGTGTCACCATGGCCTGGACGCCTATCTTCCTTATGTTCCTCTCCTATTGTACAGGTATGTGCAGGTCTCAGGGAAGCTCAAAGCTGCAGCCCTCAAAGTCACTCTTCCTGAAGTGGGCATCTTGATAAATTTCTCCGTTTCTTGCCTCATTAACGTCTGTGTTTGCAGGCTCCCTGTCCCAGGCCGTGCTGACCCAGCCGCCCTCCCTCTTGGCATCTCCGGGAACGACAGACAGACTCATCTGCACCCTGAGCAGGGACATCAGTGTTGGCGGCTCTAATATATACTGGATCCAGCAGCAGCCATGGAGCCCTCCCCGGGATCAGCTGTACTACTCCTCAGACTCCGATAAGCACCAGGGCTCCGGGGTCCCCAGCCGCTTCTCGGGCTCCAAAGACGCCTCGGCCAATGCGGGGCTTCTGCGCATCTCGGGGCTGCAGGCTGAGACCGAGGCGGACTATCACTGGGCTGCAGCTCAGGGCGCTGGGAGCAGGTATCGCTCCTCACAGCGTCTCAGATATGGAGGAAGTGGGTCTAAAACCTCTGGACCCACGGATCTTGTTTCTGAGCCTCTTTTCAGTAAGAAACTTACCTGGAGAGACATAGCAAGGTGGTCTCTTCTGGATGACGATCTATCCTTCAAGAGGGAACGAGGAAGAGTCATGTAATGCACGGAAAGTGACAGAAAATGGGGGCATCCGAGGAAGCACAGACACATGAGATATCTGAGCCCATCCGCACACCCCCACTCAATCTGGAGAAGATGTACAGCAATGAATTCTGAGTCTACAGCTGAACATACTGCCCAGCGAACATTCCTCCATAATCCGTTCTATCATCTTATTCCATAAAGTGTGACCTTGTGTCACGACTGATGTATCCACAGCTGATACATTGACAATGACCCTGGCCACAGACACAGTCTCCTCTCTCTGAACGAGCTACACGAGAACTTGGACCAGATCCTGACGACAGCCCCCACACCCTCCTCCTCTTCTTCTCTTGGCTCTCGTGTCCCTCAGGCTTCAGTCTCTCCCTCTGGCTATTCCGTCTGAGCTCTGTCTCCACATCAGGATTTCAGAGAAAACTGGAAATGACCTTGCTGTAGTTTCCAGTCTCCAGGACCCATTTCTGGGCAGGAGAATGACCAGAAAATATAGGTGCATGCAACCCTTCATATTCTCCTTCCTGCTCTCAGACCCAGGCTCCATTTTTCTGTTCTCAACAATCCCAGTCAGTCTCTTTATTTATTTTAGAGGTTTCTTCAATTATTTGGATGAGAGGGCACAGCAGGGAGAAGCAGAGGGAGAGAGAGAGTCTTAAGCAGACTCTGTGCTCAGTGTGGAACTCTATGCGGGGCTAGAGCTCAGGACCCTGAGATCATGACCTGAGCTGAAGGCAGAGGTTTAAGTGCCTGAGACACCCGGGTGCCCCTCAGGACCCTGAGATTAGGAGCAGAGCCAAACCAATAGTCAGACACTCAATCCACATTGCCCCCCACGCATCCCCCAGTCATTCTCTTTAATATGAAAATAAAGTTATTACATTTCCTGAAAAGAATGTATTTATCTACCTTTAGGTATTTGCACATGAGTCTATTGATTTTTCTCCCCTTCAGAATAAACTGATGCCATGGGGATTCTTAGAGGACTCCAGAGACAAAGGATGGCCTGCATATTTTAAGATATGTCATTATTTTTTTTTATGCTCCAATGCCCTGGAGAGGATTCACCAAGAACCAGTTTTCTATGATATTTAAAGCCCAGGGCTGTAGTGTTTATTCACACACGCACAAAACCATCAGCAATATCTTGTTCTCACTCCCTGGTAGACCCCTGGGGACACGGGGGACTGTGGTTCTGGCTGGGATGTCAGGGCAAGAAGGAGGGGGCTGCATGCTCCCCCCCCACCCTGTGCTTCCAGACACCTGAAAACCCCACAGTTGTAGGTCTTGTGTCTGCAGAGATAAAAAATTGACAGACTTCTTATCACTCAACAGGACCTGGACTCTTGATTCAGTGAATGGTGAACAGATGTGCTCTCACATGAGCCCTCCTGGCCTAAATAAGTCCTTTTCCAGTAAAAATCTTTGAGATCCTTACCTCTAAATGCAGGGTCAGGATGCAGGAAATATATAAACAGAATCCCAGGAAAAACATCCCTCAGGGTATTTCAAAGTCATAAGAGGGACAGGGCTCAGGTAGCCTCAGTTTTGGACACACACACACACACATACACACACACATACACACACACCCCCCTCTCCTCCCTCTGAGTGAATAGTGTGCCTGGGCCTCTGTGGATTCCAGGCTTCTCTGTCCTTCCCAGAAGTTCGAGTCATCCTGTGCTCACCCAGCCATCCTCAGGGTCACAATTTCCAGAAGGCAGAATCCTCCTCCATAGGAAAACTGGAGACATCTAGTGTGACTGGGGTCCTGTCCCCAGGGCAGCCAGGATGGGCTCTGAACATCTGCCCTCCTGGGATGAGACTGAAGCTCAGGAATCCCAGAGGGGTGTCCCTGTCCCCATGGGCAGCTCAGCCCCTGACCATCTGTGGGATGCAGTCAGTGGCTGAGGCTACTCAGTATGTTGATTCTCGGATCCCAGCCTCAGAACTCAAAATCCTTGTGGACAAGTGACACACGTTCCCTGTGTTCTCAGGGCTGGGCTGTCAGTCCTTCAGTCACTCCCCAGTGACACTTCCAGCCAGGCTGCACTCTGACGGAAAGTCTTCTGTCCCAAATCAGGGCCACAGGGCATGTGACCCTAGGGACACACTCCCCCTTATCTCCACTTCTCCCCCGCTCAGCTTTGGGATATTTGACAGAAACTTCTGTGTCCAGTAGGCTTTGGGTAGTAAAATCCATTCCTGTAGTCATTGTTCACTGAATGAATAACGCTTCCATCCTGAACGTGCTGGACACAGTTGCAGGGACTAGAGCTGTGTCCAACCCAGGGCGTGGTCTGACCCCAAATCCTTTGTCCTAGAAGTTCTGTCTGTGTTTGGCAATTTTGTCAGCAGGATGGTTCTGAGTTCATAGGAACAGGCCCCTCAAGGGGTTTTACTGGGAACCACGTTGACCTTTCCTACCTGGGAGACCAGACACATGGTACAAATAAGTGATTTTAGAAAAAGTATATAAAACCCTATTCTCCTGAGAAAAGAAGCATTCCTGTTCCATTAATTCAATCTTACTGAATGGAATTATGCTTAAAATAACACACATTCTTCTTAAATATGACGTTGGGTCCGTGGTAACTGACACATAAACTCTGTCACTAGGTTCCTGTGAGAGCATCTAAGCTGTCACTCCTTCCCTGCTAGAACTTCCAGCACGTTTGTCCTTTGTGCTCTGAGGTCAGGGCGGCACACACTCACGTGGCAGGGCGCCTGCAGACTTGTGTCTGTGCTGGGAGGACGGAACCGGGGAGGGAATCCCTGCCCAGTGTGTGGACAACTGTTGTTTCAAGCTGTTTGACACAGTGGCAGGAGACAAAGATGTTCAGTATGCAACCCTCTAGGAATGCACAGGACAGCTTCTACCCACAGTCTGGAGAGAATCATTCCCTGTCTCCTCAGTGCTGTGGGGACCTCAGAGGAAGGAGAGCTCTGGAAATCAGGGAGAAAGCACATACGAGGAAAGTCCCAGCATCCTGCACAGAAGCGACCCTGTATCCATGGGGACCCATCACTACTCTGGACCCTGATCTCTAAGAGTTTGTTAGAGACACCACCCCAGTCCTGACCCAGGAACAGAGAAGGGAGCCATGAACAGACTCATTCTGAAGACTCTTAGCAGGGCATCTAAGAGTCCTGACTTAAGGGGAAGTGATATATAGGAACACCTGGTCAGGCCCTAATGCAAGGAGCAGTGGACAAAGCAGTTGAAGGGGATGTGCAGAGATGGGTCTGATGGGTCCTGGCCACCTTGTCACACAATGATGTGTCTGGGTCTGGACACCAGGGGGCACTCTAGTCCCATTTCTGAGGAGTCAGCGGTGATCATAGCTGGGATCTGACACCTGGCCCTGCCTGTGCCCTCTGCTCAGCGCTTGCAGCTGGGACCTCCCCATCCCCTGGCCCCTCACAGCCCCTCCCCTGCCAGGTCCTTGACAGCCACAGGCAGAGGGACATGACCCTGGGGCAGGGAGGGGTCAGAGAACTGGTGTCTCATTTGCATGGCCGGGCCCTCCTGCTCTCAGAGGATGAAGAGGGGGAGGGAGAGATGAGGGGAGGCTCTGCACAGCTGTGGGACCACAGAAGGCAGGATCGGTGATGACCTCCACCATGGCCTGGTCTCCTCTCCTTCTCAGCCTCCTCGCTCACTGCACAGGTGAGTGGATGCAGGGACAGGGGAAGGGGCCCTGGGAGGACACATGGGCCTGGCTTCCTCCTCTTGTCTCAAAACCCCAGCATCACCCTCTCTGTGCTTTTCCCCCTTGCAGGGTCCTGGGCCCAGTCTGTGCTGACTCAGCCGTCCTCCGTTTCTCGGGCCCTGCGCCAGACGGTCACCATCTCCTGCACTGGAAGCAGCTCCAACATCGGGGGTGGTAATTATGTGAGTTGGATCCAACAGCTCCCAGGAAAAGCCCCCAGAACCGTCATCTATGATAATAGCAAGTGACCCTCAGGGGTCCCTGAACGATTCTCTGGCTCCAAGTCTGGCAGCTCAGGCACCTTGACCATCACTGGGCTCCAGGTTGAGGACGAGGCTGAGTATTATTGTGCATCGTGGGATGATAGTCTCAGTGCTCACACAGTGCTCCCGGCCTGTGGGGAAGTGAGACAAAAACCTGCTCTCCCTCAGCAACGGGTCCCGTGCAGCTCCCCCTCCTTGGCCAAGTCAGCTCCTTCCTTTTTTGGTCTACACTGTAGTCTGAACTAATCTCAAGGAACATTGGCTACAAAATATTCCAACTTCTCTTAAATTCACCCTCTTCAGCCTCTCCTAAGCAGGAAGATATTGTTTGGTTCTCTCATACTGAGGAGAAACTCCTGGGTGCCAGGGCCAGGCTGCCTGGGTAAAAGCAGACTAATAATTTGTAAAAGCGGACTAATAATTCAAGAAAAACTTGACTTTTTAACCAAGTTAAAACAGAATTCTAATTTTGCATCCACATAGGTTGATTTTAAAGCTCACTTATTTATTTAAATTTATCTTAATTTTAACGCGTATTGACCACACATACAATTCCTTTCTAGGTTCCTTTTCCAAACACCTACTACAACTTTCTCCTATTGTCCCCAGACCCCAGCATCACCCTGTCTGTGTCTCTCCCCCTTGCAGGGTCCTGGGCCCAGTCTGTGCTGACTCAGCCGCCCTCCGTGTCTGGGGCCCTGGGCCAGAGGGTGACCATCTCCTGCACTGGAAGCAGCTCCAACCCCAGGGGTTATGCTCTTTAGTACCACTTTAGTGCCAACAGCTCTGAGGAGCAGCCCCTCAATCTCCTCTTTTATGCTCACAGTAATCAATCTTTGGGGATCCCCGTTCAATTCTCTGGCTCCAGGTCTGGCAACTGAGGCTCCCTGACCATCGCTGGGCTTGAGGCTGAGGACGAGGCTGATTACTCCTGCCCGCCCTATGACAGTGGACTCCATGCTCACACCGTGCTCCCGGGCTGTGTGGAAGCAACAGAGACGTGCTGTCCCCACAGCAACGGGGTTCCCCATTCAGCCCTATTTCCTGGCCAAGCCAACTGCTTGCTTGCTTGTTTGCTTGCTTGCTTGCTTTGGTACAACCTAGGCCCTGAGATCCATCTGAGGGAATGTGTCCGCGAATTCATTTCACATTCTTTTACATTTGTCCCTGAACCCTGTCCTTGGCATCCACAGATTTTGTCGTTTTCTCAAATTGAGCAAAAATTTCTGGGTACCATGGCAGGATGGCCAGTGGACAGAGTCCATCATGAGTTGGGAAAAAGCCTGCAAAACACAGTCTAGCTAAGTGAGAGTCCCGACACGTCGGGAGTGTCCTATATGTGTCCAGTACCAACAGCTCCCATATATGGGGTCCCAAATCCACAACTATTATGATGTGAGTCCCTCTGGGGACTCTGATCCTTTTTTTGCTTCCATGTCTTACAGCTCTGGCTCCCTGACCATCACTGGGCTGAGGTCTGAGGACAGTCTGCTCCTCACTGCCCCTCCTGGGACAGCATCTCAGGGATCACACAGACTCCAGGCCTGTGGAAATTGCGACCAGAGCCCCTTTCTCATCGGCCAGGAGGGGGAGGCCCGGCGGCTGCCCAGGCTCTTCCTGTGGCTTCTGCTTCTGGTTCTCCTGCTGCCACCATCATGGGTCCAAGTCCATGCAAGGGCATCTCCTGGGGGTGAGGGCTCCTCCTTTCCTCCTGTCCCCACCTTCACTCACAGCGGCCTCTCCCTAGACAAAGGGTCTCCCAAGGACACAGAAAGGTCATCTCCCCCATTAGGTTGACACACAGGGTCTCTACACTGAGGTTCATGGACTGGGGGTGGCTGGTCCATGATGCTCATCTCCCCCCTGAACTGTGAGGAATCTGGGGTCTCCATTCTTGATCATTTACCTATTTCTACAAGTTTCCAGACCCATGTAATCCTATTAGTCTTCCATAGGAATGTCTGTTCTTTGTGCTCTGTGGGCTGATTTCTTCTGTCCCTGCTTCACCAATAGGGGAATATTGAGGAATCATATATTTGGGTCTTTTAGGATGACTCCCTTTTTATTCCCATCAATGCTGAGAGGGAACCAGTGACTTTTCTTGGTCACTTTCATTGTCTATTACTTGCAGAAAGATGTTGAATAATCATGGAGTTAAGGCCACTTATGCCTGTTCCTGTTCTTGTAGAAAAGTCCTCCCCCTCACCACAGTAGCTAACTTCCTGTCTGGGGGACTGAGTTCTAGGTGTGTGGGAGAGAGTGTGTTACCATGGGTCAAATGTGTCTGTCTGTTTCTACTTTATGTAGTTTTTGTTAGGACTTTGCTTTCCATTTGCTCAAAGAGAGTGTCAAGATCTAGCGAGATAATGTGATTTTCATTTATTGCTTTATTAATAGGATATCTTATATAAAATAATTTTTTACTGTGGAATTCATCTTGTATGCCTGCAGTAAATCACAAATGGTCATGGCGTATGAACATATGGATGTGAGATTGGAGTCACACTGAAGATGTTGTATTTAGATCATTCATAAAATATGTCTTAATACTGACCTGCAAATTCCCTTTTCTTGTATAATATTTTTCAGATGTATCAGTATTACATTTTCTTTCTATAAGAATTTAACTTTTCTGGGGGCACCTGGCTGGCTTAGTCTGTTGAGCTCGCAACTCTAGATCTCAGAGTCGTGAGTTCAAGCCCCACATTGGGCATGGATCCTACTTAAATGTGTAAAAAAAAAATGAATTTAAATTTTCTATTGTTTTTCAGTGCTTTTCAATAACATATATATGAAGCAAACAAATAAAATTTTCTGCTCTCTGAAAGTGTGTTATTTTTTCTTGTGAAGCTAATCTCATCTCATGCCTTCTTGTGGAATAGTTCCTAATAATATTCTCTATTTTTTCTTTTTCTAAAAGAGATTTTATTTATTTATTTGAAAGAGAGAGAGAAAGAGTGAGAGAGAGAGAGCAAGCATGAGCGGTGGCAGGGGCAGAGGGGCTCGATCCCAGGACTCTGGGATCAGGACCTGAAGAGAAAACAGACGCTGAACCGACTGAGCCACCCAGGTGTCCCAGTGACTGGATCAATCTTGCAGGTTCTCTGTGCCTGTCCAGCTTCCTCATGCCCTCAGTCAGTCATTCCGGCACATCTTGCAGTTTCCTCAGACAGCTCCCCTCTGGAGGGGCAGGGGCTCTGTGCTGGGAACCGGCAATGAATTCGACAGAGGGGGTCCTTTCTGTCTGCTTTAGATGCTCTTCACTTCTCCTACTCTTCCTTGTTTCACTTTCTCCCTGCTCCTCCTAGTGCAGAGACTTGAACAGTATAGTGAAGCCGAGGTGGCTGCCCCACAAGGGGACAGGGCTAGGGACCTGCTCCCAGAGCCAGGATAAATTGGAAAGGGTTTGAGCTCCTTATATGGGGCAAGGTATGCAGGGCCTGGTTTCCTTGAAAATAGCACTGGGGGGTTCACCACTGATTGATTCATTATCTCTGATGTGGTTAGATAAACTGTTCCTGGCCTGGTAGAGCCTGCCCATATTGCATTCCCTTTGTTCCCTTAAATCTTTAACTACTGGAGTTTTTCTGTTCTGTTTTGTTTGTTAGTTTTCATTTCTTCTTAATTCTGACACCTCTTAGGAAGATCTGCAAGATGTGTGCTGGGAAAGTAGAGACACAAGGGCAGAGATCACAGGAACTAGCTGGGGGCCCAAAATGACTTCTCTTGTGTCAGGAAAGCTGTAGCCCATCTGTTTTTGTTTTTGTTTTTTTCTCCTGGGGACCCCTAGCTTTTTCTGCTCACACGGACCCACTGATGGGACTCCTTGGTATTGTAACCCCTGGTGGACAGTGTGCATCAGCAGGGTCCTTCAGAGATGAAAAGCACAGCCCAAAGACACCTCTCGCCTAGGACCCACGACGATGGTGGACAAACACCTCAAAGACCACCTTCCCCATCCAGGTGCCTCCCGAGGATGTTACAGGGGGAGGTGCAGGTGAGGGTGCGGGCTCTGTGCAGGAGAACCAGGTGCTCAGGCTGTCAGTCCTGTGTGGACATGACCCCGAACAGACTTGCTGGCATCCTTGACATCGGGCAATGTGGTCAGGTGTTAACTCCTTCAAGCCAGCAGTCTACAAATATCAAGGAAATTCAGGTAGATCTGCTATGGACCAAGGGACTTAGGTCAGCAAACACGGAGTGCATAAGCTTGAAACAGGCTCACCCTAAAGACCAGTCGACTGCTGTTACCCTGAGAGGAAACATCCTGAGATGTGTGCAATCTGTATGTTAAAGGAAATCATAAAGTTCCCTGAAGAATATGAAAGCACATCTGAAACATGATGAACATCTGAGTTTTGTCTTGAATAAGAAAACACAGTATAAACATGTCAACAGATCGTAGGTGATTTCATGTAGCTCATGTTTTAGCTTCTATTTTCCTGTTTGGGTTCTGGCTGGAAGATATTTCCTAACTTCAAGGAAATTGAGGGAAGCTTGACCATATATTGCAGGAACAGAAAGACATACCCATGCATTACAGAGAGGGATGTGAGAAGTGAAGGATCACAGAGTGTCTGAACTAGGGACACCCCAGAGGGGGTCTCACACACAGGGGAGCAGTCAGCATGGCCACGTGCAGCCGCAGCCACAGGCAGCCAGGGGTTCAAGTGGAGAGGAAGCAACATGGGGAAATGGTGGGTGGGTGGGTTAGTGAGGTGAATGGGACTAACCATGCAGTTATAAAGAATGGATGATGATGATGATGATAATGATGATCCGTGATTGTAAGTAAGTGAGGAACCCTTGCAGGACATTCAAACGAGGAAACAAACAAACCAAATCCACTGTCCCCTGGTGTGTGACATCAGGTGTTGCACATAGGGGTCCTTCAGTTTTTTCTAGAACCTCCTGTGGGCGTCACTGAGCACTTCAGTTGTTTTTCTGAACACTTAATACAAATGTGGCATTCATTTTCCCCAGTGATAATGGGTTTATAGAAGAAAAGCAAAAACTTGAAAGCCAGGACAGGTAAGGTATGGCAAAACCACAGGCAAGTGCAGGGAACAAAGGATCAGGAAGCTCTTTTATGGAGCAAAGGCTAAGTATGGGAGGGACAAAAAGTCCATGGGAGTAAAAGGGAATTCTAATTACAGGGCTTGTCATTGGTTACGTTGTGACAATTTCTCATTGGGTGGGCTGGTGCCAGGGCAGGAAGAAGTCTTCCTCTTCCTGAGGGAGTAAGGAACTAGCTTCAGGCTTGCAGACTTGCAAAGTCTGTCCTCCTGCCTGGTCTGCAATTGAGGAGTGGGGGGCACGAGAGCTCCCCCTACTGGTCTCTGACCTCCATTCAAAAGAAATGTTTCTTTAATTAAATATCACATAATATATGTATGTGTTTACATTCCCATAGACCAGGACTCTTTCTGAGAGTGAGACTCAACAATATCATCAGCAGGCCTGAAGGACCATCGTATCTAGAAATCAGACCCAGTGAGATGCAGACCCCAGCTGGACTCTCAGGGCTTTGGACCGGGGTGACATGTGTGCCCAGGACCAAAAGGTGGCCTGTGGAACTACCTTCCGCTAAAAAAGCAGCTCATTAGTGAGAACCATTCTAAGAAGTGTATGGTGACTAACATAACATAATAAAAAAGCCCAAAAAACAAAAAACAAAGATGTCTGGTCCTGAGGGCTGCGTCTTGTGCTCACTGATGGGACTCAGCAGCTGTGTCCCCTCGGGTCTGGCAGAGTGTCCCGAGGGGACCTGTATGTGGTCTCAGCAGGTGCTTCCTCCCAGGGTTGGCCCCAGGGCTGAAGCCAACTTCCATCCTCCTCAGTGTGTGATGTGAACTGAGTTCCAGCACCAGGGATCAGGGAAAGGGAGGGGCACCGACTAAATGGATGGACTGTATTTGCATATAGAGCCCCTCATGTGGCAGAGGCTGGAGGAGAAGAGGAGGCGTAGGGCAGCCCAGCCCACTGGGGAACCTGGGTCTGTGTCATCATGGCCTGCACTCCTGTCTTCTTGGGGATGCTCTTTTACTGCACAGGTAGGGACAAGTCTCAGGGAACAGCCAGCATCACCTCTCTGCTTCCGAGTCTAGAGAAAATTTACTTTGAACCTATCCAATATCCTATGAGTGTGTGTGTTGGCAGGTTCCCTGTCCCAGCCCGTGTTGACCCGGCCGCCCTCCCTCTCTGCATCTCCGGGAACAACGGCCAGACTGACCTGCACCTAAGCAGGGACATCATGTTGGCAGCTTGAACATCTACTGGATCCAGCAACAGCCAGGGAGCCATCCCCGGGGTCTGCTTTCCTACTCCTCAGACTCTGATAAGCACCAGGGCTCTGGGGTCCCCAGCCGCTTCTCAGGCTCCAAAGACGCCTCGGCCAATGCAGGGCTTCTGCGCATCTCGGGGCTGCAGGCTGAGGCCGAGGCGGACTATCACTGGGCTGCAGCTCACGGCGGTGGGAGCAGCGACCACTCCTCACAGAGTCTCAGACAACGAGGAAGTGGGTCTAAAACCCAGATCCTACAGACTCTCCCTGACAACACCCCCCACACCCTCCTTCTCTTCTCTTTGCTCCTGCATCCCTCAGGCTTCAGTCTCTCCCTCTGGCTCTTCAGTCTGAGCTCTGCCTCCACATCAGGAGTCAGAGAAAACTGGAAATGACCTTCCTGTAGTTTCCAGTCTCCAGTGTCCATCTTCAGGCTGGAGAGAGACCAGAAAATACAGCTGCATGCAACCCCCCACTTTTCCTTCCTGCTCTCACCCCAGGCTCCATTTTGTGTGCCCAACACTCCCAGTGAGTCTCTATTTTTTTAGAGATTTATTTATTTATTTTAGAGAGAGAACAATTGGGAGAGGCAGACGGAGAGGAAGAGATCGTCTTAAGCAGGCTCTGCTCTGAGTGCGGAGCCCTTTGCGGGGCTGGAGCTCAGGACACTGGCATCATGAACTGAGACAAACCTAGAGTCGGAAGCTAAACCTACTGTGCCCCTCAGGCACCCCCAATCAGTCTCGTTAATATGAAAGTAAAGTTATTACATGTCGTGAAAAGGATGTATTCATCTACCTTTATATATTTGCACATGGGATCTGCTGATTTTGACCCACTTCAGAATTAACTGATGCCCCCACCCATGGGGAGTCTTGGAGGAATCCACAGAGAAAGGATCACCTGCATATCTTAAGATATGTCGTTATTTTTCTTATGCTCCAGATTCTCATTCTTAAGAATTCTGTCGACAGGAATTCCACCACAGAAATATTTTTCTATAATTCCTAAAGTACCAGGCTGTAGTGTTTTCTCACGCACACAAAACCATCAGGAATATCTTTTTCTCACTCCCTGGTAGACCCCTGGGGACATGGGGTCTTTTAGGTCTGGCTGGGATGCGGGACAGGAAGAAGGGGGCTGCGTGCTCCGCCCCACCCTGTGCTTCCAGAAACCTGAAAACCCCACAGATGTAGGTCTTGTGTCTGCAGATATTAAAAAAAAAATTGAGAGATTTTTTTGCTTAGATTTTATTTATTTGGCAGAGAAAGACACAGCGAGAGAGGGGACACAAGCAGGGGGTGTGGGAGAGGGAGAAGCAGTCTTTCCGAGGAGCAGGGAGCCCCATGTGGGGCTCAATCCCAGGACCCTGGGACCATGACGAGAGCTGAAGGCAGATGCTTAATGACTGAGCCACCCAGGTACCACGACAGATTTCTTGTTACTCATCAGGACCTGGACTTCTGATTCAGTAAATTGTTAATAGTTTTGCTCTCACATGAGTCTTCCTGGCGAAAATAAATCCTTTTCCAGTAAAAATCTTTGAGATCCTTACCTCTAAATGCAGGATCAGGACCCTGGGGTTTATAAAGAGAATCACCATGGCGAAACATCCCTCAGGGGTGAGGGACAGGGGTCACATAGCTTTATTTTTGTCCTGGGTTGAGGCTGATGCTTAGGAATCCCAGGGGGAGTCTCTGTCCCCATGGGCAGCTCCCCCCCCCCATCACCTCTGGGTTCCAGTCAGGGCCTGAGGCTGATCGATACCTTGATTCTGGGACCCCAGCCTCAGTGCTGCTCCCTTAGAGCTCAAGGTCTATGGGGGACATGAGACACACCCTCCCTGTGCTCTCCGCCCTGCGCTGTCACTCCCTCAGTCACCCCAGTGACACCTCCAGCCAGGCTGCACTCCGATGGAAAGTCTTCTGTCCCAACCCAGGGCCACAGGGCCTGTGACCTCAGACACACCTTCCCCCTTATCTCCACCTTGCCAACACTCACATCTGGGACCTTTGACAGAAGCTTCTGGGTCCACTTGCCCTTGGGTGGTAGATATCCATTCCCGTAGTCATGGGTGGCTGAATGAATAAAGGTTCCATCCTGAACATGCTGGACACAGTTGCAGGGACTAGAGCTGTGCTCACCCCAGAGAGTGGTCTGACCCCAAATCCCTCTGTCCTGGAAGCTCTGGATGTGTTTGCTAATTTTGTCAGCAGGATGGTTCTGAGTTCATAGGAACAGGCCCCTCAAGGGGTTCCAATGGGCACCACGTTGAGCTTTCCTACCTGGGAGACCAGACACATGGTACAAATAAGTGATTTTAGACAAAGACTAAAAACTCCTATTCTTCTGAGAACAGAAGGCATTTCTGTACCAGTGTTTTCCACCCAGATTCTCTCTGCACTAAGCACAGGTCTGGGGAAAGTACATTCCTGATTGTACCTGCATCTTCACACTGACATGGTCGTTGAGTTTAAATCAATCTCACTGAATAGAATTACGTATAAAATAAAACACGTTCATCTGAAGTACGAGGTTGGCTGTGTGGTGACTGACACATAAACAGGTCCCTCTCAGAGCATCTACAGCTGTCACCTTTTTCTTCTTAGAACTTCCAGCATGTTTGTCCTTTGTGCTCTGAGGTCAGGGCCACACACACTCACGTGGCAGGGCTCCTGCAGACTCGTGTCTGTGCTGGGAGGACAGAGCCGGGGAGGGAATCCCTGCCCAATGTGTGGAAACCTGTTGTTTCACGCAGTTTGAAACAGTGAAAGGTGACAAGATGTTCAGTGTGTGACCCTGTAGGAATGCACGGGACGGCTTCTACCCAGAGTCTGGAGAGAATCATTCCCTGTCTCCTCAGTGCTTTGGGGACCTCAGAGGAAGGAGAGCTCTGGAAATCAGGGAAAAAGCACATAAGAGGAAAGTCCCAGCATCCTGCACAGAATCGACACTTTGTCCCTGGCGACCTGTCACTACTCTGGACTGGATCCTGATCTAGAAGAGTTTGTGTAGAGACATCACCTCAGTCCTGACGCAGGAGCAGAGAAGGGAACCATGGACAGACTCATTCTGAAGACTCTTAGCAGGGCATATAGTGAGACTTGACTTAGGGGGAGGTGACATATAGGGACATCTGGTCAGGCCCAAATGCAGGGAACAGTGGTCAAAACAGTTTGTAAGGCGGTGGTGTGGACATGTGTCTGATGGGCTCTGGCCAGCATGTCACACAATGATGTGTCTGGGTCTGGACACCAGGGGGCGCTCTGGTTCCTTTTCTGAGGAGTCAGGGGTGATCAGAGCTGGGCCCTGCCACATGGCCCTGCCTGTGCCCTCTGCTCAGGGCTCACAGCTCTGACCTCTCCACCCCTGCCCCCACAACCCCTACCCTGTCCACTCCCCCTGACATCCTCAGGCACAGGGAACTGAAACTGGGCCAGGGAGGGTTCAGAGGGCTGGGGCCTCATTTGCATGGATGGGCCCTCCCTCTCTCAGAGGATGAAGAGGGGAAGGGAGAGATGAGAGGAGGCTCTGCTCAGTTGTGGGGCCACAGAAGGTAGGATCGGTGATGACCTCCACCATGGCCTGGTCCCCTCTCGTCCTCAGCCTCCTCACTCACTGCACAGGTGAGTGGATGCAGGGACAGGGGAAGGGGCCCTGGGAGGACATGAAGGGCCCTCCTTCCTCTTTTTGTCTCTAGACCGCAGCATCACCCTGTCTGTGTCTCTCCCCCTTGCAGGGTCCTGGGCCCAGTCTGTGCTGACTCAGCCGCCCTCCATGTCTGGGGCTCTGGGCCAGACGTTCACCATCTCCTGCACTGGAAGCAGCTCCAACATCGGGGGTGGTTATGGTGTTAAGTGGTACCAACAGCTCCCAGGAAAAGCCCCCAGAACCGTCATCTATTATGATAGCAATCGACCCTCAGGGGTCCCAAATCGATTCTCTGGCTCCAGGTCTGGCAGCTCAGGCACCTTGACCATCACTGGGCTCCAGGCTGAGGACGAGGCTGAGTATTACTGCTCAGCGCGGGACAGCAGTCTCAGTGCTCACACAGTGCTCCCGGCCTGTGGCGAAGTGAGACAAAAACCTGCTGTCCCTCAGCAACGGGTCCCGTGCAGCTCCCCCTCCTTGGCCAAGTCAGCTCCTTCCTTTTTTGGTCTACACTGTAGTCTGAACTAATCTCAAGGAACATTGGCTACAAAATATTCCAAATTCTCTTAAATTCAGCCCCTCCAGCCTCTCTTCAGCAGGAAGACATTGTTTGGTTTTCTCCTATTGAGGAGAAACTCCTGGGTGCCAGGGGCAGGCTGCCTGGGTAACAGAGTCAGCTGATGAGGGGAAAAAAGGCAGGAGAAATGTCGCTTAATGTAAATCTCCTACAGCTGCAGCCCCTGATAGATATCTGACCCATGCGGAGTGTGACCTCCCTCAAGGACCTCATGGCTGCCCTAGCGCCTTCATGTGTGTGTTTGATTAAAGACTGAAGTAACCTCATCTTCACGGCAGCTAGCCCCTTGATTCCTGAAAGCCTGGCTTCCAAATTCCTTAGATATTTACACTATCCCTCACCTCCACTAATTAAAAAGTATATAATCAGTCACTCCTCACAATGCCAGTGAGTTTTCTGCCCATGGGTCCTGTCTCCGGGCTATAGCAAATTCATCTTTTTTCAACATTAAATGTCTCAAGAATTCTTTCTTGACCATTAGGCTTCACAATCCCATATCACTGTGACAGGTCAGGATAGAACCAGAGACAGGGAGTCCACCTGTGTCTGACGGAGGATAGAGCACTGTCCAGTGAGTGTGCATTCACACCACTTACTGAGCACCTACCATGTTAGTCTAGGGATGTGGGACATATGTGGACTTGACAGGAAGGGTCTGCAGGCTCAGGGAGATGAGAGTGTGTGGGAGAAGAGAGAGGACACAGAAGCTAAACATGTCGTCATGGAAAGCTGTGTGTCAGGATTATGGGGAGGGGTGAGGTTGGTGGGGTGGAGTGGGAGCATTGGAGGGGTTCACAGGGAACTCCAGAATCTCATGTGTCATAATGGCATCCCCGTTCTGCAGAGACAATGAAGGAACACGAGGGACCATGCAGGTGGCACTCGGCAGGGGCTGTGGACTCTGTCCCAGTCAGACGAAGAGTTCTGGACAAGGAGTTTATAGGGAGGAATGTAAGAGTCCTCATGACCTGGGGGAAGCACGGACTGAGAATGTGAGTGGGAAGGAGAGGTTAGAGGTGGGGGGGTGGGGCTTGGGAACAGTGGGTGGAGGGGGTTCCACAAACTGGGACAGTATGAGTGCCCATCTCTGATGCAGGATGACTTATATCTCATGTTTCCAAGAGATAGGATCAGCCCCTGAACCAAGGGACTGTTCGTCAGGAGTCCTAGGGATGCACGTATCTACTTACTCTTGTCGGACCCTTGATGAAACGTCACCTGTGTCTGGTGTTGGGGAGGAAGTATTTCCTGTGCTCTTCAAGGTCCATTTGGCTGGATCAGATTCAAATTGATATTTGGTGGATATGCAGGTCAAAATCAAACTTAATAGCCTGAATAACGTGAATCCACACAGACATGCAGAATTCCAAAGACAATCAGGCAACATGACACTTATATGGGTGAAGTAGAGGAATAGGGATCTGAGGATCAAAGAGGAGAAAGAGCATTAGCAGGAAGGTGAGAGATGTTTGCAAAACAAAGGTTGTCCTGCTATGTAGATACATGTCTTAGGTAAAGAGGACACGCTACTAATAGTTCTCTTCCTGGTACAAGCAGGCAGTTTTGGGGGAGGTATAGAGTTTTTCCTAAATCTGGTGAGTTTCCTTTCCTTTTAAGAAAATAATGGTCACACCAAAGTGTCTCAACTTGGGGCAGCCTAGTCTTGGCCAGTTCCCTCCCTCCTCTGAAACTTCCCAAAGTGACACATGTCCAAAGTTGGGCTAGACGATCGTTCAGTTTGGTTGACACTCTCCTGACAACAAGCCAGTTTAGTTAAACTTATTTCAGGAGGGGGGATGCAGGTGTATTCTCAAAATAAGCCCTGGGTTCTAGAAATTAGGTATTAAACAAGAGGCATTTCTATGGAAACAAAGAAAATGATGGTTAACGATTGTATCAAAGTATAAAGCAGTTCCCAAGTTCTGAGGGTACCCAGGGGAGAAGACTTCTAGATGTCAAGCTCAAATATCTTCAGAGAGAGTGACAGAAAGTTGTGACACTCTGACAGATTTTCCTGGTTTGTAGTTCAAATGTGTCTGCTGATCCCTGAGTGGCCCACAGAGCAACAGGTATGAAGACCGTCTCTATGTGAGCTGCTCTGGAGGTTTTTCTGAAGTTTGCATCGTATTGTTTGTATTTACTTTTCAGGACTTCAGGGGAAAAGGCAGTTTGGGCCCAACTCAGAAAGGTGGGAGAAAAATCCTAATGTTAGTTTTGAGACTTGTAGCCAGACATTGTAGGAAGCTAGAGAATATCAGGAACTAGTCCAGGTTTTAATGAACAGGATTGGAATCAAGTAATCACTCTGGTGTGTTACTGAAACATTTTTTTCTACAATCACCCTGATTTCTACTAAGTATAGCCAAATTAACAGTAATTTGCTCACCAAGTAATTGTGTTTTCAAAAAGAACTTGGTCTGATTATTTACATAAGTGCAGCAAGAAAGGCAATCAACCATAGAGGCTCTTTAAAACCTGCTTTGCTGGAACTTGTATAAGAAACCTCTAGATTGACCATTTAACAGCCCGTCCAGGCTAGAAGCCAAGCCAAAACTTGTGCCAGATACTTGTTATCAGACTTATATTTTATACTTAGAATCTTATGTTTCTTTTTTTTTTTTTAAAGATTTTATTTATTTATTTGACAGAGAGAGAGCACAAGTCGACAGAGCGGTAGGCAGAGGGAGAGGTAGAAGCAGGCTCCCTGCTCAGCGGCGCTCAATCCCAGGACTCTGAGATCATGACCTGAGTCGAAGGCAGACGCTTAACCAACTGAGCCACCCAGGTGCCATGAGAATCTTACAGGTTTCTAACTGCACAGTTGCAGTGTAAATATAAAGTGCAATTAGTGGTGTGGAACACTTTTTTTTTTTTCTCCATCTTCAAATAATCCAACAGTCCAAGAAGGGTTTCAAAGCTTGAGAGGTTATCTTTTGATGACACTGACCTCAGAGATAGAGGAATCTGGCTCCAGGGGGAAGGTGGTGGGAGATGCTGGAGGCTGGAGGACAGGGTGGGAGCTGGTCAACCAGCAGAGAGGGGCTGGGTGCGGGGAGGGCAGTGTCCTCTCCCAGGGACCACACCCTGAGGAAGCCGAGAGCTGGAAGCAGGGCTCTCCTCTCAGTGCTGACAGAAGCACTGCGTCAGGAGCACAGAGGGGGTTCCTTCCTGACCCTTCCTTACCTGCACCAATCACAAAACAGTTGGTGCGGGTGCCTGGTGGCTCAGTTGGCTAAGTGACGTCCTTCGGCTCAGGTCATGATCCTGGAGTCCCAGGATCGAGTCCTGCATGGGGATCCATACTCAGCGGGGAGTCTGCTTCTCCCTCTGACCCTCCCCCCTCTCATGTGCGGTCTCTCTCTCAAATAAATAAAATCTTTTAAAAATTTTTAAAAATTAAAAAAATTAAAAATAAATAAATAAAATCTTCAAAGAAATAAAAAATAAAATAAAATATATTAAGTATATAAGAGAGTCAAATATGTAACCATTTGTCAGGCTAAATTTCAAGGACACTTTGAACTTGGAAAAGTGAGCAGGAGCAGAAGACGCATGTCCCTGACAGTGTCCTGTTCCCATGGCAGAGACAGGCATCAAACGTCCTTGCAGTGCAGGCTGAGTGGACCTCACAGGAGAATCGAAACCCACAGCAACAACAACTGTCAAACTGGAAGACGGGTCCATGTAGAATTACTGTGAGGTGTGAACCCCCTTGGTACTCGGACAACTTTAGGCCTTTTATTTGGTTCAAGATGATGGTAGACTGGTTATGAGCCCAAGCTCCTGGAAGAGGCAAACTCCAATGTCAGGTAATCCTGAAATACCTGGTAACGTAAGCGGTGTGCAATACACCATGTATTTAACCATCTGGAGGTCATTCTTGATCTGGAAATAACCTGTCAGCTCGAACACCACAGTGGACACCTCTTCTTTCTACTGCTCTGGGCAATGATATTGGAATGATCCAGTTGCTAACGTCGGGACATCATTGCAGGAGCGCTGGGATGTGTCAGATGGGCTGGACGACTTGGTGTCTCGGCCCAGCAGGTGGCGCTGTGGGACTGGGCGTGTGTGGACAGGCTTCTGGTCCAGACCAAGCAGGGAAGTACTCTACTCATTCTTGCACACTTGGCAGGTGGTGTCTTCACTGAAGTGTGACTGCAGAACCTGTGTCCCTGCAGCTGCGTGGGGGCTCAGCTCTGACACCCTCCCTCCTTCCTGCTCCATCCGCCACCCCATGGAGGCCTTGCCCAGGCTGGTGTTCAGACAGGGACAGACCTGCCCACACCTGGAGCTGTTCTCCTCATGAAAAATAATCACCTGCCGTGCTACCGGGGCCCAGGGCAAGAGAGAGACCCCTGTGGCGGGGAGGAGGGGAAAGCCACCAATGTGGCCTCATGCAGCTGACTCTGGGGCTTCTCTGTCCTGCCCTGAATCCTCTATGGCCTCCTCCCCCATAGACAAGGAGTTGCCTTTAGGGCTGAAGAGAAAAGCTGCTGGGGTGGGGAGGCATTTGCACCGCTTTGTTCTCAGACAAGCCCCATTCTTTTTGTCACCTTAGAGCCTCCAGCTTTCCTTCCAGGGCCTGTCAGACTGTGGTACTCTGCCGTCCAGGTCATCCGGGTCCTTGTTAGGGGGAAAAGGAACAAAATAGTGACATATATAACAAATTATGATAAATATTACATATTATAAAATTGTATTTACTATATAACCATTATAAAAACAATATATCTGTACAATATATGATATTGAATTACTTATATCATTACTTTATACATACTCTAGTAAATATAAATATCATGTATCATTTAAATACTGTAGATTATATATGAATATTTTATCATGTGTATGTTACAAGTTGCATGCTGCATATACATATCATATATTATAAGTTATACATTTAAGTACTGTAAGTTATATAGAGAGAGAGGGAGAGGAAAATGAAGATACTGTGTCTGGGAACTACTGTGAGTTTGCTCCATCCTGAGTTACATTTAGAGACCGAGCCGGGTGTGGAGTCACACAAAGGAATCCGTATTTGCAGCAAATAAGGAGATCACAGGGAATAACTTGCAAAGCCTTGACTCCCAGAGCAGGAGTGAGTGGGTTCTTTTCATTTCCTATTTGGGATGAATATTCAGAGGGGAGCTTTGTCAGCTCCTGTCAAGGTGGGGGAAGGTCGGTCAGGAGTCCTGAGAGCACAGGCCTATAGGGGCATCCTTTGCTCTGTTAATGAGGCCAGTGCGCCTCCTAGTGCAGAGACTTACCCAGACCTGCTCTGTCCCCACAGTCGCTGGGGGTAATGTCAGCCCTGCTCAGGAAGGGCCCCACGTTCTCACACTCACTGTTTTTCTCTGTGAAGGTGTGTCTACACTGCAAGTTCCTGTTCACACTCAGCCCCCAGAGCCAGCCTGCCTCCTCTGAGCACTGCCCCCCCCGTGGGGAGAGATTCCCTCTGCTCTCTGCTCCCCGTGTCTTGTCCTCAGCTGCACAGAGGGTCACAGGCTCCCCTGGGTCAGGACTGCACAGGTACCTCCTGCTAGACCCCACTGCACGGAGGAAGCCTGATCAGGGACAGCATACCAGGACCTCTGTCCTTCCCTGGAGGGTCACTGTCCCATGGAAAACAGGCATTAGGGAAGCAGGTGAAGGAGAGGCTTGCAGAGAAATCCCCCTTCCCAGCAGCAGTCAGGCCAGGGTCCCCCTGCACTCAGCCCTCTGTGGCCCCCAATTCCCTCCGGTCTGCAGTGAGTTCCCGACTGTGCCCATTTCACAGGGACTGAACCCCAGAACATTTGTCCTTGTCAGCGCTCCATTCACCGGCCTGAGGAGCGTGTGCATTGCTGTGGGGACGTCACCTCCGCCATCGGGAAATATGCGGATCGCTTCAGGTATGTACACGGCACTCTTGTGCGGAGGCCTTGCTAATCTGTCTGTAAGGTTCTAATTTTAATGCATAAGATGTTGAAATGAGCCTAATTTATTTTTCCATATTGGCCTTCTTGTCACCTTTTAATCTATACATTTGTGCGTGCTCCCATTTTTTTCAATACATTAGCCAGTGGTTGTTTACTGTGTTATGAAAATTATATTATGTGTTAATTAGACCATTTTTCAAGTTTTTGTCTCATGCATTTTTGCTTTACTTGTGGTGGGAGGTCGGCTGTGCTTCCTTTCCCTTTTCCCTATTCCCCTGTGCCTAGGAGACGCTAAATGTCTCCTTCCCCCTCTTTCCCTATCGCTGAGGTGTTCCCAGGGCTCCCCTCCTCACGGTCTCACCCCATCTGCCCACAGCACAGCCTCTGAGTCCTCCTGACTCCCTCCTGCTCGCCCTGGATGCCCGTCCTGTGGGCAGGGCTCGGGTGTCCCCCTGGCTGTCCTGTGGCATCACACTCAGGGACTCTCTCCTCGGATGGTGGTTCAGGCCGCTGCTAGCTTCCCCTACTGTCCCCCACAGACTTCTCTGGAACCGACTTTTCTTTCCACTGAAGCTCATGGCTTGTGGTCTGAGCCTGGGAGCCAGGGTGTCTGGATTCACTCATTAGTGTTCTATTTATTTGTTCATTTACTTTCATACAGGTTGTGTGAAGTTGGTACATAATCTGTCTCACGTGTTAATAGGGTGTGAGTCTTGCATAGTTTCCTCTGTCTTCTTAATTGTGCAGGTGTTTTTAAGAGACATAATGGGTTTTTCAAATTTTGTCGGTGAATATCACCTCAGCTACCCAGAATTTTTCATGAAAAATTTGTTTATGAAAAAAAAATAATAATAAAGACCACTGTTAAATATAGATACTTTTAAAATTAAGTACCTTATTTCCTTTTTTACTAGCATCTAACACAAATATAAATGGGAATATGATTGGACATAGATAATTGCTATGACAGTTATCAACTAATATTTCTCTGCAATTTCTTACAAATACATTCGATAAATGGGGCTAAAATCACAAAAAGACAGTAGGGAGAAGGAGCCAGGTTTTCCGGTGACGGCATGAAATACATTAGGTGCAGGTGTCCCAGAACTACCCTGAGGTGTGTGCTTGGTGAGGTTCAGGGAGAGGCTACCCCAGGTGACATCACACAGAGGAAACGTTCTCTGCAGCAAACAAGGGGATCAGGGGAGGAATTTCCCAAGCTGTGGCTCCCTGAGGGGGGTGAGCGGGTGCTGTTATTCAGGGTTAGGCTGACCGGTTACAAAGGGGAGTCCTGTCATCCCAGGTAAAGGTGGGCACAGGGTCGTGCAGGGGGACTGAGAACACCAGCTGTGCTGTGTCCTGTGGTGGGTTCCTGAAGCTTGTGCTCCTCCCAGTGCCGAGAGTTAACATTATAAGAGGCAGAGTCACCGGAGGACACGCCATGGTCCTTCTGTGCAGGACGAGTTGGTGCAGGAGCTCAAACCCATCTCGGCTGCGGGACCATTCGTGGTGTTTGCCTCTGAAATGCAAGGTTAACATTCCTGTGAAGAAGAAGGGGTTTCCCTGGGGGTCTTGCTGGTGACAGTTTTAACCTCAGTAACCCTGTGGGGAATGGTTTCATCCTGCAAAAAGAACTCAAGAATGTGCGTCCGTTAGTCTTCAGTTTTGACACAGTCCTGGGAGTTTACCACCGAGTTATTGTCTCTGATGTGGTTGCACTAAGTCCTGGTCTGGTAGAGACTGCTAGATTTTGCATTCCCTTTGGTCCCTTAAAATCCTTAAGGACCAGGGTTGTTACATTTCTTTGTTCAAACACTTCCTAGGACATTTGGGAAGATGGGTGTTGGGCAAGTAGATCCTGCAGGGCACAGATAATGGAAAAAACCTGGGGGCTTAAGATGACTGCTTTTGGGTCAGGAAAGTTGTGTCTCCCTTTTTTTTTCTTTTTACCGGGATCCCTAATTTTTCTGCTTACAGAAAGGTCAGGGCATTTAGTTTAAAAATATTGCAGTGATAAGATAGGGCGCCTGGGTGGCTCAGTTGGTTAAGCGACTGCCTTCAGCTCAGGTCATGATCCTGAAGTCCCGGGATCGAGTCCCGCATCAGGCTCCCTGCTCGACAGGGAGTCTGCTTCTCCCTCTGACCCTCCTCCCTCTCCTGCTGTCTGTCTCTCATTCCCTCTCTCAAATAAATAAATAAAATCTTTAAAAAATATATTGCAATGATAAGATAAATAGTAAAATCTTTAGAAATATCTAAAATAAAGTTTCCATTATTTCCGTAATAATTATAATAATAATTATTTTTGTAAGTTAAAATTAATGAAAGTGACACTAGTAATATTACCAACGAATAAAAATGCTCATGTTACTGGACAGAGAACTGGTTCTGAACTCATGCTGGGTTGTTCACCACTGGAAAATCAATACTCAAGAGGCAAATGGTGGCAAAAGAAGGTGCTTTTTTTTTTTTTTAAAGATTTTATTTATTTATTTGACAGAGAAATAGAGAGAGCACAAGTAGGCAGAGAGGCAGGCAGAGGGAGAGGGAGAAGCAGACTCTCCATCGAGCAGGGAGCCCGACATGGGGCTCGATCCCAGGACCCTGGGATCATGACCTGAGCCGAAGGCAGCCGCTTAACCGACGGAGCCACCCAGGTGCCCCCAAAAGAAGGTGCTTTATTCAGGAAGCCAGCACCCTGCGAAGATGGTGGACCAACACCTCAAAGACCACCTTCCCTGACCAGGTGCCACCCGAGGGTGTTACAGGGGGAGGTACAGGTGAGGCTGGGGACTCTGCAGGAGAACCAGGTGCTCAGGCTGTCAGTCCTGTGTGGACATGACCCCGAACAGACTTGCTTGCACCCTTGACAGCGGCTTTCAATGTGGTCAGGCGTTAACCCCTTCAAGCCAGCAGTCTACAAATGTCAAGGAAAGTAGGGTAATTCTGCTCTGGACCAAGGGACTTAGGTCAGCAAACATGGCGTGCATAAGCTTGAAACAAGCTCAACCTTAAGACGAATGTGAGTCGTGTTACACTGAGAGGAAGCATCCTGAGATGTGTGCAATCTGTATGTTATAGGAAATCATACTATTCCCTGAAGAATATGAAAGCACATTTGTTTTATTTTTTTTGTTTTGGTTTTTTTAAAGATTTCATTTATTCACTTGAGTGAGAAAGGCAGAGAGCACAGCTGGTGGAGAGGCAGAAGGAGAAGGAGAAGCAGACTCTCCGCCAAGCTGGGACCCTGACGTGGGGCTCCATCCCAGGACCCGGAGATCATGACCTGAGCCAAAGGCAGATGCTTAAGCATCTGAGCCACCCGGATGCCCCATGAAAGCACATTTGAAAACATGGTGAACATCTGATTTTTGTCTTGAATAAGGAAACAAACTACAAATATGTCAGTAGGTAGTAGGTGATTTCATGCAGCTCATCTTCTAGCTTCTAATTTCCTGTTTGGAGTCTGGATGGAAGATACTCTGTAACTTCAAGGAAATGAGGGAAGCTTGGCCACATATTGCAGAAAAGAAAGGACATAACCGTGCTTTACAGAGAAGGATGTGAGAAATGAAAGCTCACACAGTGTCTGAACTAGGGACACCCTAGAGGGGGTCTCACGCATTCACAGGGGAGCAGTCAGTGTGGCCACGTGCACCTATAGCCACACTCAGCTGGAGATTCAAGTGGAGAGAAAGCAACATGGCGGATTGGATGGGTGGGTGGGTTAGTG